ATACGCCCAGGTGGGAACCATGTCCATAAAAAATTATGGAATTTCCCTTGCTGAGCGTTTTTCAGCGCTTCGATCAGCGCTGAAAAACGCCCAGGTGTGAACCAGGCCTAAGTGTAAGCTTTCATATCAAGTCCTGCTTTGGGGATGGGGGACTGCGATCAGCAGACTTACGGAAAAAGTAATACGGAGTGTGCCCCCTTTCATGTCCATATAGTTAAAACCCAAGGGCTGTAGTGCTTTATAATGTATACGCTGGTACAAGTTGTCCTTTAATACAAACCCCCCTCTCCCGTTAGTAGACACCCATCTACAGCAATACTTACCTTTGTTCTTTAACCAGCTATCTTCAAATCCCGCCTGGTTCTCTTCATCCAGCACATGCACACCGCAGCCCCATTTATTCCTGTGGTAAGAGTTCTAGAACCACTAGAGGCCACCACCCCCCATAGAAATAAATAAGGCCACAGCATGCAACAGCCGGATGAAGAAGACCTTGCACAGTCACCCTCTGAAGTAAGGCTGTCCGGCTGGGCAGGACCACACAGTGAAAATCACTGGATTGAGGACGTAGGCAAGTACTTCTCCTGGTGGGCACCATTCAGTGGGAGATGGGAGAATGCCCTAAAGGACCACTTGTACCAACGGTACAGTTGTCCTGTAAATAGGGATGCAGTAAAAAGGAATTTTGAGACCGAAACCGCAAAGAAATTTCAGGCCGAAAGCGAAAATGAGTTTATTTCCAATCTTTTAATAAAAAAATGTAATTATTTTTCAACTATTTTATTTTTATCTTTTTCTTACTTTACTTCTAGGGGCTTCGGGGAAATATTAGTAGTCTAAACAGACCCCTGATATTTCCCTTTTAGAATAGAAAAATAGATTGAGGACACAGAGCGTCCCGTTATAAATGAACAGGAATGTGCTATACTGAATGTTCCCGTTCATTCATACATTGTGGAGATAGTGTGCTTACTATGTCCACAATCATGAATGAATAGGAAGCGATATAGATCACTTCCCATTCATAACTGGTGCATAGTAAGCACACTAGGTCTAGTTATTTACAAACACTCACAGATCAGCTGATCGTGTTTGTATACTTGCTCTCCATCCTGAAATCGGCTGTCACAGGATGGGGGGAGGGTGGTGGGGGGAGGAGAGCACCACCTCCTGTGACAGATCACAGCGTTCTCCTCTAGTCACCGCTCTACATACTGACAGAGGAGGCGGAGCTCACCTCCCACACCTCTGGGCACCACCTCCTGTGTCAGGATGGAGAGCGGTGGGTGGAGGGGAGCACTGTGATCTGTCACAAGAGGTGGAGCTCTCCTGCCCCACCGACGGATCACAGCTGTCACCACCCTTCACCGCTCTCCATCCTGACACAGGAGGCTGAGCCGGGAGGAGAGCTTGGCCTCCTGCGATCGCTGCCCGCACCACTCGGCATCCTGAAAGCTTCTCTCCTCCTCACTAGGCACCAGCTCTGCATCAGAAGGTACATAGACTGGCGCCCAGCGGGAAGGAGAAAACCTAGGGATACACTGAATTTTTGGCAGCATTTTCAGACGTCATGGCACTTTCGGCATTTTGCCAAAAGTGCCATTTACGGCCGAAATGTTTCGGTGGCTGAAAATTTGGTGCATCCCCACCTTCAAGATCTACATCTTTACTAAAACATAAAAAGTTAAAGGCAAAGTTCATATTTCAAACCATGTTTCATGTTACACCCATAGTTAAGTGGCCACACAGCTGCATCATCAATTCACAGGGATTGACAACTACAAGGGACTTGTGGGTCTCCAAAGAATGCAAGTCCATTAGCAAAAAAAGGTCTTTACCTCAGTATGGACAGATGCTGGGAGGAAGGATCTGCAGGAGCCAGAGCATCGCACCCACAATCAACTGGTCATGGTTGTATTTTTATTGTATTTTGTAATTTTTTTCTTTTATAAATGTGAGGAAATTATTTTATTTGTAAAAGGTGGACTTTAACTTAATTACTAAAATATTTCACAACTCATCTGGCTGAAAAGAAAAATCATGATCACGACATGTCTTTCTGGGTAATCAGGGTAGCTCTGTGGGACAGTAGACTTTTTGAACAAGAAGACCATGCTGGTTTGATTCAGTTCTCCATCTCCACCCAAAAACTTTGGCATACCTGAAGAGAAAATCTGTAGGTACAAAGACAGGACCTGCAGACCTGGGATTGATTTATTCCAGGTCTGAACTGTCTTAATTAATATTGAGCACAAAAAGACACGGAGAGCTGTGTAGTACTAATTACAACATATTTCCAGCCATGCAACTCATTTGCCTTACAGTAAAAGCTAACAGTAGCCTTTCTTCCTGTAATTTATTATTCCCCCCGGGCCATCTCCTAGCTAAACGAACACATACCTCCTTTCTTTGGCAGCAACTGCTAAATAACTCCATCGGTACCAGTGAAGAAAGAATCACAATAAACTAAGTTGCCGCTCTGGCATGGGAAATCCTGTGCAGAGAACCGCGGGCTACAGTTCCCCAAACCTCTTAAGGTTTAATGTGGTAAAAGTACAAAAACAAAAACTACAAGACACTCTACACTGCATGGTGAACAATATGTATGTTTTCAACATTTCTCCTGTCCTTATATTGGAGCTGTAAAACAAATATAATATGTGCCGCTGCATTCCTGTTGGTTTAGAATTACTTCCTTACTACACTTACAGTTTCCCCGAGAGAAGCCAGATTGTCAACCATCCCTTGTATATGAGGGATTAACAATTTTGAAAAGATTAGCTAAGGCATGATAGTGGTGAATTAAAACCAATGTATAGTCTGAAAATAATGTGTAAAAAATAAGGAATGAATAAAAGCATGCCATTTCAGGCTCTAGTTACATTTACTTATGCAGTATTGGAGCTGCAGGGGGAGCAGGAAACAAGGGATTTGTACTTACTCCTTCCCTACTAGCCAAACGAACATCTATCCCATGCAGTATGGGGGGGCACCCTGTGCAAGGGTGAATTTAACAGAAGTCCAGAGTTGGGCTTTAAACATGTGTTTGAAAAAAGTATCCGGTAGTGAAACCGTAAAATTTACTTAAAGTGGACCTTTACTCCTATCTTTGAAATAATAACAAACACACCTTTAGAAATGATTATTAATGACAACCTACAAAACACATACTTCTAGATAATTGCCGGCTTTGTATATCTTATTTCTCTTTTATCTCCCAGGCTTCTGACAGTGGCCATGTTTATTAAGGGCAGATGGCTAGCTCTCCTTTTACTTCCTGGATTTATCGCATGTGACTACGCACATCATCTCAGGGGAGGAAAATGCCTTTCCCTGAGATCTCGTGAGATTACAGATGAGATTTCCCGGCAATGTTCTGCTGATGACAAGGCAATCCCAGTGTGCATTGCATTGGCAAACTGAAGTCATTTCCACTTTAAAAGCAGGAAGTGAATGCTCTGCAAGTGTAAGTATTTCATAATCACAGCATTTTACACCCGACATGTCTATGTTATTATTAAGCATTATACATAGAGGAATGCATTGGTAGAATTTGACTTTTGAGTGTAAAGGTCCACTTTAATAAAAATACTGTTTTTGAATTTAAAACTACTGTACCTTAAGGCTTACCAAAAACGTGAAAATTAGGCTCTACAGAATTAATTTTAAATTATACATAAAGCAGGCCAAAGCAAAAATGTTATATAAAAAAAAAGGTTGTTTTGAAAATCATTTACACAAAATTCAGGGTTACCAGTGATGAATATATACATGTGGAAAGGTACAGTTATCGTAACGACAATATCTAGGCCTAAGATCAAGAGAGGAGATAGAAATCAACGTTTTCCTACAATATTCACTATTAAAAAAGGTACCAAAATAATTTTAGAACCAGAACCTTAAATATCATGTTCTTAGAGCTGATATTAAAAATCTATTGTGAAAAATGAGAAGCACAGTAGACCACAGAGGGGGGAAAAAAAAGCATAAAAAAATTGAAATCCACGAATCAATGATACGACTGTAGCAAACCAAAACCCAGTTTCCAAGAATTCCTATATTTTGCACATCAGATTTCTTTTTTGCACTTCCTTTTTTGAAGCTTTCATTAATAAACATTCATTGAAGTCTAGATGTCCAGACCAAAATTAGCAGCGTCAGCATGCATCAGTAACTTGACAACAACTCAGGGATGGACAATTCATACGGAGCATTGTTGTTGTTTTTTAGGGACTGTTCACACTACCTGTGGACAGGCTTGTACGTTGTGGCAGCATGTGCATCAGAAATGTTGTCTTCACTGGCACCATGCTTTCTCTTCATTGATGCCTTTAGAAAGTATCGGGGGCAGAGAAAACCTAACTAGCACTTGCAAAAGGGAGGTCAGCATTGTCAGGCCACTTACTTTACCACAGCACAGGTTTTCTTTGTACAAGGCTATAACGATTTTTAAACCTGTGTAACCTTTTGTATTTCTTACATTCTAAACCAGGTGGAATTTGGGATTAGGATCACCCAGGACTCTCAGCCAGAGGGGCTTCAGGAAGCAGGCGTTTTTACACGCTTCACTCTGACTTCTGGGTGGTGTAGTCCTAACTCCGGGACAGCGGCCTTTCCTTTCTCCCAACTGAAGCCCTGAACCCTAGCCAGCACCCTCACCATAAGGGCTGTGCACAGCTGTGAAGTCTACAAGTAATGGTCACTACCCAAACATGGACCTAGGAATGGAGATCTCAGCCATCCCAATTCGCTTTGAAATCCCTCGTTTCCAGGATGTCAGGCAGAATCCAGTAAGAATTAAAAAGCCAGATTGGGAAAAGATCTAAAAGATCTTTAGTAGGAACCTCAAGACTTTCTTTCACATATGTACATCCTGCCAAATTAGTTAACTTAAATACAGGTTCGTATGTGATCGACAACACATTGTTGGTTCCTTATCCATTTAAGCCACAATACAATATACATATTTATCATTTAAAAAATGAAATGTGCATCCATACCTTAAAAATGCCAACCCAGTCTTTCGGATTTGGATGTATATATTGGGTCAGGGTGTAGTGGCATTCCAGAGGAGCACTTGGAAGGTAGCTCTTGGCCACATTCTGAAAGATCACATGTGCAAAGTTGGATGTCTGCAAAGAGCTGTTTGGAGATGGATGGTCTTGCAAAGCCGACATGCTTAACCTGAAAAATGGGAGTACAGTATTTTAGACTCACAGTTCACTTGAAGGCTACATTACACAGTTTTGCACTGTCGAAGTAAAATATATTATTGAGAGATTAAAAACACAAAAGAAGGCATAAATAACCTCACCAACACACAACAGACAGCATATGCCTAAACATATCTAAAATGCAGAAAACTAAGTAGATGTGTACCACAAAAGTCATAGGTAAACAAACAACATGGGCCAGGCCCATCAGAACTCAGCAAGTATTGATTTATGCAGGAGCCGGGTAGGATCAGTACGGTCAGCTTAATAGGGAGGAGTGTACTTGGTTTTGAAGAGCACTTATCCATTAGAAGTATCTGTATGCGGCACATTGCACATGCTCTAACACTCTGCCAAATTCCAGCCCTGAAATGTCCACATACTTGGGACATAGTGGCTCTATCTTCGGCCTCAGAAGGGCTTGCTCTAACTCCAGGATAAAATAAAAACCATCCCTCCCACCTCCATTTTACTGACTGTTGGGCTACAGGTGACCGCAAAGAAGATAGGACATGAGAGAGGAACAATGAAGACCATGGTGCTGGAGGCTCAGCCTGGGGCATAACCCTCCCATACCCTCTCCAATCCAAACACACAAAGGGAGGGCAGGAGAAGAGAGACGCCACCAGTGATTGAGAGGGAAGAAGCCTGAATGCTTCAACTGACCACCTGCTGCACAACAGTGAGCTACTGGGAAGGGGGGTTAAAATAAAAAAGGGAATGAGGTGTAACGTGAACACCCCATGGCCAACACCCCCCTGAAAGGTATCCCCTCAGCCAAGGAATTTTGCAAGGGAAAAAAAAAAAAAAAGAGAGCGAGGCTTGCAAAGGGGCAGATATCTCTAGGGCTTTGAGGGGGGAGATCCCTGCCGGCAGGAGAACTCCAAATGGAAGTAAAACAGCAACCCAAGAGAAGCGCTTAGTGTGTTGACAGACGACAGGAAATACTAGAACCGAGGACATGAGCTTTATAATCTCTCATTCTTGTGTTTCCTGTACGAGACGGGGCTCTGTCTCTCACATAAGCTGTCCTGGAGGATGACCAAAAAAAAACTTTCCAAGTCCCCTTCTTCACTAAGCTGCAGTCACGTGCTGGATACCTTCCTCTGGGTGTCCACATCACTGCCTGCATGATGTGGACAATTCCCATTGGCTGTCCATCAGAGGGGTCCCTTCAGGGTCCAGAGGACTACCAATGTTGACCCAAGGGGGGTTAAGAGGAATGGGCCAGCAAAGATTACTGTGTGGTGCTGGATTTCCAGTCCCCACAGGCAGAAATGGTGTCAGCGAAGGACCAGGATGGGAGGGAGGAAGGAAATGTCTGCCAGGATAGGTTAGAGGGGCCAGGAGACAGGTATAGTAGGTCTTTCACTGGAGTTGGGCTTTAGTTTCGACTGAAGACCATATCGTTTTTGATTAGAATTGGTTTTAAGGATGAACTGTCTTTAAACCTACACTAGAAAGAATCAACCCTGACTGGCTGCCATGAGAATTTTGGACAGGGGTTTTTTTTTGACACTTTACATGCCCTGTGGAACATTGCCCTATGTTTCCCCCTACATTTTTTTCCAGACCAGGGGGGAAAACTCCAGGGAAACTCCAGTCTTCAAAATGCTCACTTCCAAAGTAAATTAAAGCTCATAAAGTGGCCCATCAGTGTAACAAGAAAAAATAAATTATGGCTACCATAAAAATATGCAGTAACCTCCCGAACAATCCCAAACTGTTCAAAATAATGACGGGTTGAATGTTTTTTATTCTTGATGCGGAACATCATAAAACTGTAAACACGCTCAGCTCAGCGAACTGTCATTACAGATGCAGCTCACATCCAACAGAGTCAGAAGACGATCAGGGCAATTTATAAAGAATGAATTTCATGAAATTGGAGCAAACCTATGAAACGCACACTGACTTGTGAGACAAACTTTGGGACTGATATATGCACACTGATAACGTACATAGATGTGTCAATATGTGTCTGAGACAGATTTCAGTTGGATCCTCATTTAGGATGACATGGTGTAAATAAGAACTACTTGAATTTGGCACAAGAGTCCGTAGATCTGGAAAATGGCACAGCATTGCTAGAATTTGGTGCAGACATTTCTTATGGTGCCCATACACTGTACGATTCTCGTATGAGAATCGCGGGAAATCCCGCGATCGTACGAGAATCGTACAGTGTATGGAAGGCGTGCGACCGTTTCTACTGTACGGTCGCACGTCTTCCATCGAACAAGCAGGCTGGAAAACCCGCCGGGAATGGTACGATTCTCGGCGAGTGAGTGGCCTGCTGGTTCGACAACTGACGAACGGGCCAGTGTGCGCACGCTGACCGTTTGCCGTCCTTGCAAGCCCGCCCCTCATTGCAGTCATCGCAAGCCCGCCCATCAAGGGGGCGGGCTTGCGATGATCGCAAGTACGATCTGCCTGTCCAAGATGGGCAGATCGTACGTTTTTTTAAGTACTTTACAACCATCGCAAGACTAAGGTCTTGCGATGGTTGTAAAGTGTATGGCCACCTTTAGGCTGTGGCGACAGAATTCTGGCGTGAACACAATATTGAACTCCCTGAACGATGGCAGTTTACATTGTAAAGCGATGCGCAAACCTTTGTCGCAATAAAATTCCTGTATAATAATAAGGAAAATAATAGTGCCAGGCCACTATGTCGTCCAGAAGAAGGGACCCTGCATGGCCCCAAAACGTTGGCTGTATGAGCGCTCTAGCTTTTGCACCCAAGGCAAGAACAGAAAGAAAATTGTGCCCCCTAACCTCTAGGATAGCGGAGCACATGCGCAGAATGGGCTGGAGGACAAATCCGTTTGACAAAACTAGAACAAGAAAACATTTTAGTTTCGTGTGTGTGTGTGAATTTATTTTGTATTATATTTTTTTTACTGTTGGCGGGAGGGGGGGGGATTAGGTGGAAATATTAGGGGTCTAAACAGACCTCTGACATTTCCCTTTTGAAATAGAAAAAGAGATTGAGGACACAGAGTCCTCTGCCCATACAGGTGGGGGAGAGCAGCAGGGATCCGAGGAGAAGCTGGAGCCAGTGCCACTCCTCTTCTCCCTGCCGAGCCAGGGCTGTGTTGGCTGCCTGGCGCCCCCCTTGCCAAGCAGAGAGGTTCAATTGTTGTGAAGAAGGTTTCAGGTCACCCAAGAAAGTCCAGCAAGCGTCAGCACCATCTCTTAAAGTTGATTCAGCTGCGGGATTGGGGCACCACCAGAGCAGAGCTTGCTCAGGAATGGCAGCAGGCAGGTGTGAGTGTATCTGCACGCACAGTGAGGATTGCCTGGTGTCATGAAGGGCAGCAAAGAAGCCACTTCTCTCCAAGAAAAACATCAGGGACAGACTGATATTCTGCACAAGGTACAGGGATTGGACTGCTGAGGACTGGGGTAAAGTCATTTTCTCTGATGAATTTCCTTTCCGATTGTTAGGGGCATCCGGGAAAATACTTTGTCTGAGAAGAAAATACGAGCGCTACCATCACTCCTGTGTCATGCCAACAGTAAAGCATCCTGAGACCTTTCATGTGTGGGGCCAAGGGAGTGGGCTCACTCACAATTTTGCCTAAGAACACAGCCATGAATAAAGAATGGAACAAAAACATCCTCCAGGATCAACTTCTCCCAACCATTCAAGAACAGAGTGGTGACGAGCAATGCCTTTTCCTGCATGATGGAGTCATGGCTTCCTGCATGATGGAGTCACTTTTGCCACAAGGCAAAAGTGATAACTAAGTGGCTTGGGGAACAAAACCATAATGCCATTGAGGAAACCATAATGCCATTGAGAACTTGTGGTCAATCCTCAAGAGGCAGGTGAACAAAAACCCCCCCCCACAAATTCTGACAAACTCCAAGCATTGATTATGCAAGAATTGGCTGCCATCAGTCAGGATGTGGCCTTGAAGTTGACTGACAGCATGCCGGGGCGAATTGCAGAGGTCTAGAATAAGAAGGGTCAACACTGCAAATATTGACTCTTTGCATAAACTTCATGTAATTGTTAGACAAGAAGATCCTAAAACCCTGAAGCAACAGACTTTGTGAAAATGTATATTTGTGTCATTCTCAAAACTTTTGGCCAGGACTGTAATGGGCACAAAAATATGCGTACAGATGTGGGTTATTGTCCACTCGGGTGCAGTTCCAGCCCAATTTAAATGAACGGGCTTCCTGTATGCAATGAAAGGAAACCAAGGCAAGTAACGTATTTTTCGCTCCATAAGACGCACTCCCCCCCCCCCAAACAAAAGGTGGGGGAAAATGTGTGTGCTTCTTATGGAGCGAACCTCCCTGCGTCCTATGGACCGGTGCACCTTATGGAGTGCAAAATACGGTATGTGCTGCTAGGGAGTAACATTAGAGTGAACTTGTTGCTTTGGCCAGCATGGGCTTTGTACTGGTCATGCATTTAAAAGTTTTCAGTAAATATCATACAAGAAAGAAACAGGCAGGATGCAACTTGGGGCCCCTGAACACCAGCAGCCGCATTACCGTGGAGCCACTAGTAAAGGAAGCAATGCAATGCACTCATTACTGTTCACCTTTTTTCTCAACTGCAAGTAAATGTCACAAAGTGATATTTCATTCTATGTGATGAAGTGTGGTGCGTTGCCACACAGAAAAAAAATGTACTGCATGTCACATTTTATTTCAGCGTACATCACTGCAGCGTGATATAGAGCACATTGCAAATTGCACGGTCTCTGCATTGGTATGGTAATGTTTTGGGTAAGCATGCCCAGCATAGCCCAATGCATCATGTGTAAACGGGCCCCGAATAGGACAAGCTACATCTAGAAAGATGCAATGCAACACAACGCAACGCAAACACTGCTCAAAACAACAGTCTACACCACCTGGAAGTCACCTTCCACTAACAATCTCAACCATTTCACTCAAAACACTTTCTCACTGCAACTGAAATGCACACAAGCAATTCTAGTTCAGCAA